TTTATTTATTGGTTCTCTTTATAATTAAAAATTGAAAGACTTTTTCTCTATATGTTGTAAGAAATGGCTAAATATATAATCGATTTTGGGGGGTTTTTTTTTTTTTTTCCCTTATTTCAAGCAGGGTGATTATCTTTCCTTATTTGACAAGAATGATTAATTTCCGCATGACCACTGAATTTGAATTAAGAAAGAGAGCTTGATTTCTTGGTCGTCCTTACAAAAAGAGGAACACTTTGAGTCGAACACACTTGGCCATTGTCCAACTAACGGGATCCACTAAAATAATTGGTCAAAATTTGGTCAAACCAACTAATAAAAGGGAGTAACTAGTTTCTTGTTGATAATAAATCATTAATGGTCCGCGCCTAACACTCATCTCTTATATGAATTTTAATTTTTTAAAAAAAACGACATTGATGTATTTAAAAGGTTATTTTGTCTATTTTTCTTCAAGTCAATATTGCTAGGATGTATCATAAAGAAGTGAACATAACCTCATAGGCACACTATTTAAATGTTTCATTTCATGACGATTTTATGCAGAATTACAATAAATGAATTGAAATTATATTTGCTTACCTTATTAATATCAATGTAAATCATGATTAGTATATTTAAAATCTTAATCTAACCTAAGATTCAAAAGAATAATTAAAAATTATTGAGATTGATGAACAAATCAAAGGTGACCCATATTAAGTTCGTAAGTAAACACTTGTATACGTATTTGGAGAAATGATCAAATGAGCAACGTGCTCATCTTATGTTAAATACCAGTGATATAACGCATCAATTCATTAGTGGATTACAAATTTAGGGTGTGTTTGTCTCCTATTATTGAGAGAAAAATAAAGTAATGAATAGTATTTTTTGAAGAATGTGTGGTTGAAAAGTAAAGTAACTTTATTGGTTTGTGTGTATAATATTTTATTGGATAAATCTTATTATAGCAAACAATTTTTTGGAATAATGGTAAACAAACAGGGACTTAATTTCAAATCTTGAGATCCCGGTCACTAATGAATTAATATGCCACGTCACTATTTTCTTGACAAAAGATAAGCATGGATGCTCTAGATTATTTCTATATCTATGTATACCTTTTTCTTAAAAGCTAGAGTAGGTGGCGCGGCACATTGTTTTAATAATAACTAGTAGAATGCATAATAAAGATTTAGGAGGGGATTTGGCCTAACCTCCAGATAAGATGTGCAAAAAATAAACTTTGCTTCATATGAAGAATTAGAGAATTGTATTACCATATTTATACCCCTAGCCTTCATATATAAGTTGATTGTATTGTCTCTTCAACTCTTGGATGCTACTTGAAAGAAATCACATAAATTTATTACTGAACTCTAAGTTCGGGAAGTCCATATTTGTCTCACAAATTCCATTAATGTAACTCAAAGCATCCTGACATGTCTGTTTGGATAGAAATGTGATGCCTCCGTTGATATGATCTCACTCATAACTATCATCTGCAATATCGGATATGTACGTTTATGTATGTAGAGAAATGATCTACTTAGCACCCTTGCTTTGTTTATACTAAGCAACGATCACTTCATTTGGTTGGTGAATATATAAGTTTGTGATACGTCCTCCTCCATTAGTTGATACTTCTCCTATAAACTTGTTTACTTTTAAGTTGGTTTTCCATAAATGGGGTGTGTGTGTGTGTGTGTGTGAAGAATTTGGGGGAATAGGGTTGCTAGTTTTGTTTTTTCTTTGTTCTGTTAGATATCGCTATTTTGTTGTATGTGTATTGAAAATTACAGGGGTCTATGAATCTCTCCCCAATACGTGTGTAATACTCACCCCTCAAATATCTTTTCTATTTGCATGTTTTGATTTTAATGAATAATTAGAATGTGCATATTGTTTACTACCTAATGAATTAATGTACTAGTAAGAGATTAATTATGTTTACTAAGTACTTATATTTTGATAAATAATATTTGTCGAGGACAGAATTTTAATCACTCTACCAATTATAATCTAATTCAATCACGATAGGTCGATGCATTATTCATATTTATCAAGAACCAAATCCAATTCAAACAAAACTCTATAGCAAGAGAATATCCCTTGTTTTCCACAAATGTTATTTGAGATTGAGTAAATTTCTTATCATAGTAGGAAACCTTAAATTAAACTATTTGTCGAGGAAAATTGAGGTCGACAATATTTAACATTGATACATACACATTTGTACAAAAAATTCACTAAATTAACACCTCAACATTGGAAAGTGAAAGCTTGATATCTTAATCAACGATGCACATTAATATTGTAGTGGGCAAGAAACGTGAAATTTTTCGCGCATGTTACAGTAGCACTAAGATATATGCTCAGTGCTCAATTTGTACACTATACACATAAACTTCCACACGTGTTTAATATGCGTGCGTGCGATATTTACGATGGATAAAGTAAATTGTAACCTATTAAATTATGCAATGGTCTCCCTATGTGTTTTGGTGGGGACTTTGTGTCTGGAAATTGGTCCAAGTTTGGATTGGGTATGGGACAACCTTGTCATGGAGGGAGGGCACATATGAAGTCATATCTAGTTACATGGTCCATATGTTCCAACCCACAAGTGGGCCTTTGTGGGTGAGGGTGATAATTGAATTGAGACACTAGAAGTAGAAGTGAACTTGGTATCATTCAATAGGATTAAAGAAGAAAATAAATTAAATTTTATTTATTATATTGTTGAATGTTGTATATCAAAGTTTCTAAAGAGCTTTACTTCATATCATTTGGGAGATAATATAAGATATTAATAAAGGTTTGATACTTGCTATTTGATTACCTATGTTTATATAAATCTCAGGTGTTGTATATTAAATAAATAACAAACGTTTAAGGGTTGATTATTCCGTTTAACAAGTTTTTTTTCTTTTTTTAAATGAACCTTCAAGTCTTAATACGGTTAATCTTTTAAGATGAAGACTACAGAAAAGTTTTGAGTTCGAATTTGCTGGTGTCCGTCGAATGAAACTGTGCATATGTAAGGTTTTATGGAAAAATGATACGTGTTGAAGACAAGTTCATGGTAGCATATTCTTTGCTTTGTCCCTCTTACTTGTCCAAATTCAAACCACCTTAATCTTAGTGGAAAAAATTATTTCGAACCTTTTTCATGTAGAAAAGTATGAGATTTTGTTAAGAATAAGTTTGGAGACTTTTGGATAGTAATTAAGATTTGGTCTAAAGTATGGTTATCGTTGTCTTTAAAGTTGTAAATTGTTCATCATTTTCTTAACCCACCCCCACCTCTCATGTATATCCCAAATAGACAATTTTACTCTTAGTTTAATTAACAAATTAAAAAAACAAAAATGAAAAAAAAAAAAAAACAAACAAACAAACAAGCAAACAAAGCTCATTAACGGATGTAGGGGGGATTGGACATGGCCATAGTCCGGTCTAGTCCCCAGCCAATTTTAAATTTTTAGAGTGATTTTTTTTATTAGTCCAACTTGTAATCCAGTTCAGGATTCGTTCCTGCATTGGTAACTCGAGTGTTATAATAGAAAGATAGGTAGATATTGCAGCCATCAAAATTATAAGTTGAGTATCTCATTGCTACACTTTCAACACATACGCGTGCTAATATGTTTGTGTATGGAGTTTGGTAAACCCCAACCCAATTTAAATAATATACATAGTGTGTGTGCTATATTCTTGTTATGGAGTTTGGTGTTGCGCGTGCAGCAAAAATGAGGAAGGATGTGATGATAATGTGTGATGTAGCCACCATAAGATTGTTGATAACGCATACACACATTATGATTACCATTCATATCCTCTATACAAAGCAAAATTTGATTCTAAACTCAATTGGGAATTCAACTTTGTCCAAGTGTCCATCTATCTTTTTCTCATATTCAAATTTATGTCTTTGGTTCCCAACTTATTCTCTGAGCGACAAGCTAGTTTCCAACTCCTAAAAGAAGCTAGCCATTGCTTAATTCTTAAACCCCAATGACGATAACCGTTCAAACCTTCAATGAAATGTGACCACGGTCCCCACCCTTTACCCGTGATTTTATCGTGACCGTTATGAAAACATACCCCACTTCAAATTTCTAAGTATTATAGCCCAAACCGTAAAACAAAAGTTAACTTCATAAATTACATAAATATGAGGTTCACAATGAATTTCATATTAGCGCAATTGTAAAACTATAAATAAATGTTGGGATCGCTTACTCGTTTACAAATATTGGGAACGAACTTGCTATTCGAGTAGGTTGAGAATCAATGATACAATTTTATCTTGAATAGGTTGAAGTTGGACAAGTGTTTACCATTCTATTAATATAGAAAATAGAAATTACATAAGCTTTGGAGGAAGACATCTTGAGAATCATTTCTTCTATCTGGGACTTGTCAACTCCTATAAGTATCTCACTTTCCATCTTCTAATCCTTTTTATTTTACTATCATGTACATACTGACCAGAGATACTTGTATGATTGAGGTATTAGGTGAACTAAAAGTAACTTAAAAGCTAAGTGTAAAATTTCTGATGAACACATAGGCAGTAGATTAATTACCCCTACAGCTATGTAATGATCTTTGTAAGTATGCAACCTTTCTTCAATTAGAGATAAAATTAGAGTTATTTAATAATCTAGTTTGGATTGTAATTAGAATGATATTTAATTTCTCAGGAAGAAGATTTTAGACCATGTTTGATTGCAACGAATTCCACGAAAAATGTCACATTTGAGGAAAACAAATTTTACTTTGACCGTTTGATTACAACGTGGAAATGAAAATCGAATTCCAAAGTACAATAACTTTAAACTGCATTTTCTTTTTTTTCATGAAAAACGAATTCCTATGAGTTTAGTGAGTTTTTATTTTCCAACTAATATGAAATTAAAATTCCTTTTCACATTTGTCGATCAAACAAACCCTTGTGAAAATTTTTCACTTGTAGGTAAGAGGAAAGAGTCATTAGATTGATATTTTAAATAAGTTTTTGGAGCCATCTATCATTGTGTTTTGGACTCGATCTTGGCTACATATTTTGTGTTTATAAAAAGGTCATATCTCAATCCGTCTTCTATACATGTATTATTGAATAGTTATGACACATACGATATAAAAGTACCTGACGGTATTGAAGAAAAAATTAAGTTAACTTTTATTTATATGCGTATAGTCGTACGTGCGATCATGTGATTTTCTTAAAAGTTTTGACATACTATAGTTCAACACACGCGTGAATATTTATAGACGCGCGCACGATTACGTTGAGAAGAATTCATGGATTTTCTAAGATTTAAGCCGCCACGCCTGATCCCTAACGCGTTTTAAATTTTGAAAAACAATTTGATAAATTTTGAGCATGCAAACCTGTCCACTTCGCAAAGATTGAAAATAAAATAGAGATAAATAAATTCTCAATTTTCTAATAGGTAAATTTTTAGATAATATCATTTTATAAAACTTCTATGAGCGTGCGTCACCTGGCCTCATTTTAAATTTTGAGTGTCATTTTTATTTATTTATTATTTTTTTATGAAAAAACATGTGAGCAGCACTAGGGAGGACATACTCAAAAGAAAGATAAATAATTTTTGTGAACAATTTAAACTTTTATAATATGATTTTTAAGAGTTATCAATTTCAACAAATTTTCATCTCAATTGCAATATCCTTATTGCTAGAATTGTGTATAATACTGTAGTGACACTATAAATTAAACACCTATGACATGCGTGATAAAGAGTTACTCCCTAAGTACATAGAATAACTCACAGAATTTGTAGCGGCATTCTGTGCATGTCTGTGTATCTTTTTTCCATCTTTGAATCTACCAATTTCTTGTACCTATAGACTGATTCCGTGATTAATCAGATTAAATTGTACTAAATATTATTAAAGAAAAAAAAATATGTCGTGCCTTAAACTTTTCTCTTTCTACATCACATGTAGAGATTTTGACAACACATGATTGTCCATTAATATTGTACACTTAACCTTATTCTTGAGAAAAATAAAAATAAATTAATGTATAAGATAGTGTTCAGATAATGTGACCGACAGTAACTGTACTATCTATTGTACTAACTGATTTGACATATGAAAAAATGTACAGAGAAATTTTCTGTTCATGAAAAAGGAAAATGATCATTCCCCGTAAAGGAATGGAATTAAGAGCTTGTTCGGAAGAGATTTTTAGGGAAAGAATTAATTTTGAATAGTAATATGATGAAAAATGTGTGGTTAAAAAAGAAGAAAAAATTATTGATGTGATGAAAAATATTATTTCATTGAAGAATGTGTGGTTGAAAATGAGAATTGATTTACTGGAGAAAAATTTAATTTCTCCCAAACAAGGCATTTTGTATCTTTTGATTTATACTTTGGCTTATCCGACATCACTTCTTCCCTCACATGGGATCGGGTCTCACATCCTATAAATGCATGGGACCCGACCCCCATGTTAGGGAGGGGGTGGGATCGAATAAACCAAAGTGTAAATCAAAAGGTATATGTAGCAAGTTCAAAAGAAATATGGAAGAAGAAAGAAAGATGCGCGTGCTGTGAATTAGGGTTCATGTTATTGTCTGAAGTCTGAAGATAGAACTCAAAAATGACCATCATCTTCTATTCATTATGCCTACAATCATTATTTTTTGTTGCCTTCAGCAGCATGTCCAATCCCTACCCCCTTCTCATATACTCTTCCTATATATACACACACTTCTGTAACAATAATGGCACCTCAACTTTCCATCAGGGCTCGTCTCGTGGTGTTTTTCTCTTGAATTCTTAAAATTTCTGTAGCTAAACGCTAGGGAATACCATTTTTCCCCCTTTTACTTTGAAGTTTGAAATTTAATATTTGCATCTTTCGTCAATGGCTGTTTCTGGGTTCGAAGGATTTGAGAAGAGGCTTGAGCTTAACTTCTCCCGTGATGATCCGGCGATAGGGATAGGTTTCCGGCGGCTGCATTTTCAGTCTCTTGAGAAAGTATTGCATGCAGTGCAGTGCACCGTAGTATCAGCACTTGGAAATCAGTATTTTGATTCTTATGTTTTATCCGAATCAAGCCTCTTTGTATATCCTACAAAGATCATTATCAAAACATGTGGGACCACCCAATTGCTAAAATCCATCCCTCCATTGCTACATCATGCTGCTACAATGGACCTTAAAATCTGTGCATGCAGATACACCAGAGGAAATTTCATTTTCCCTGAAGAACAACCTTACCCACATACAAGTTTTGAAGAAGAAATTGTTTATTTGGAAGAGAATTTGCCTGAAAATCTTTGCTGTAGAAAGGCTTCTGTGATGCCTTCAAAGTTGTCTTCTCACTCATGGCATGTATTTTCAGCTTGTGATCAGTCTCAAATGGTGATGCACAAGAGCCCATATGATGATCAGCTCTATACTATGGAAGTTTGCATGACTGGGCTGGATAGGGTTCTGGCCCGAAAGTTTTTCCGACGTCCAAACGATGGTAATGATGAATCACCTCATCTAAATTTACTTATTTAAATAAGTATTCAAGATGTTAATCTCACGTGCGATGAAACACATTTGTTTAGACACGTGCACAATTTTTATAATCGAGTAGAGTTCTGGTTCCTTGCATGCTCTCGAATAAATCGTCTTGTCTAAAAGTTTAAGTTAATTTTTCCTTCAACAGGTAAAAACGGAGATTCTGCTGGAAAAGAAATTTCGGAATCAACCCATATACGTGACATCAACCCTAATGCACTTATATGTGAATTTGCATTTGATCCTTGTGGATATTCTATGAATGGCATTGATGGCGATCGTTATTCAACGATCCACGTTACGCCAGAGGATGGATTTAGTTATGCAAGTTTCGAGTGTGTGGCTTCAATTTACGACGATATTGTGGAGGTGTTGAACAAAGCAGTGCAAGTTTTTCGGCCGGCGACTGTGTCGGTGGCAACCACATGCACCAACCGTGAAGTGTGGATGCAAGTGGCAGAGGCAATCGAACCGCTAGGAATGAAATTCCGGAGTTGCACCATGGATGACTTTTCGGCTGCCGGGAGTGTCGTTTTCCAAGTGTTCACGAGTCGACGAAAATAAGTCGTTAGTGGTGATTATAGCGATGATGAAAAGGTTGAAGTAGGCTGTCGACAAGACGAGAGGTTTAAAATAGCAAAAAGTGATAGACTAGGAGGATTTTAGAGTTTAGTAGAAATTCTTTTTTTCTCCTTTTTTTTTTTTTTTAAATATGGATATTATGCATGCTAATTTCATTATATTGGATGGTCAATTACTATAAAATTGGGGGGTGAGGTTATGGGGATGATGTGGGTTCATCATGATATTGCACCCCACTTAAATTTTGCACGCCTAGATTTTCAGGGTACAATATCTTAAGTGGGAGATGAAAGTGCTCGTACGAACCTTACTCTAATTTCTCATGCTTTTAATTCCTTACAATTCTCGTACACATATTCTCTACGGCTTTCCTAGGGGTACATCACTGTGTTCATCGGGGTGTACACCCCCCCTCACATGGGGGTGGGCCTGTTCGAATAAAAGAAAAATTTTACACAAGTGGGTCTCACCCCCATGTGAGGAGGGTGTAGACCTTGATGTATATCTTTTGATGTACAAGCAGATTTATCATATTCTCTCTATATATATTTTTTGTCTCGATTATCATATCATACAATTTTTTTCTATATATTTTTCGTCTTTATTATCGTATCGTATACATTTTTCTTGATATAAGTTTTTTGTCTTAATTATTTACTTTCCCATTTTAGCTTCAAAGGGAATGATGAAATGAAGTGTTATCTATACTTTTGATTTAAAAATTTGAAAAAAAAAAAAAAAATCACAGGTTCTCAAGTAATTTTGCTTCCAGCCGCATCTTTCAGAAACTTGCCAAGATGTAGCTAGGCAATTCTACTAAGCACCGATGACATGGTACATTTATTCATCGAGGCATAAGTTTATGTTGGTTTTCAAGATTTGAATTAAATTTATTTTCCTTCAATTGATTGATGTAACATATCATCTACGCTTAATATATCATTTTTTTTACAACCCCTGGGACACACAATAATTTTTGTGCTCGAACTCGATCTATTGGGCTCGACCTTGATCCAACATGATTGGGGTTATGTTAAGGTCGGGCCTTGCCTCGAGGTCGAGCTATTGGGCTCCACCTTGACCCAACTTCATTGGCCTTAACTTGAGGACGGGCCTTATCTTGAGGTCGGGTGAAGTCTTGACTCACCCATCCTCTTGACATTATCGTACGTTTCTTAAGGAGTACCAATCCTACCTGAATATAAACCCCCTCGAAGAATGTTTAGGTTAACATTGTCAAACACCTTCTATGATAAGGATAGATGCCACAGTTCCTCCAACATTTATAAATACAGTCATTGCTCATTACTCAGGTATGTCATTCAATAATATTCCAGCATATATTTTGTAAGGGACCACACTATGTGTACAAAGCATGGTACATAATGTGAAACAGTAGCGCGGGCCCCACCCCTCTCACATTATGTACACACATTTTGTAATCTCTCTCTGACTTAAGTATCGGAGGAGCGACGAGGACACACTTCGATACCCTTGTTTTAGGTATTGAAGATCAGTGCGCGCGGAGTTCAACCATCCGGTTCGAGTCAATTCAGGTACGAATGTTTGGTAGCATCAACCCCTATCTTTAAAAGATTAGCGCCATTCATCCAAATAGATGAAATCCATCCATTTATCCGTTAACACGTTTTACAAGCAAAGTTGAAAATTTAGAAGTGCAAATTTTATTTATTTTATTTTTTCTAGTTGATGCCTAAGAGTTAGCTTACTTTAATACTCTCTATATTGACCTCGTTATCAATTTCATCACATAACCAAGCTAGTAATCACCAACTCCACATACAATACCAATTATCAGGATATCTAAGTTAATTCAATTATCACAAGAACATGGCTCCTCCAAATTAACCCTTTCCACATCCCCAATCCTATAAAAATTTCATCGAATCACGAAAACACACCCAAATATCCACAAGATAAACACATTAAACTTACAATAATTCTTTCTTCATTGCATAACTAAAAAGAGAATAATTCGATACCAACACTAATAAGGACGTTCCGAAAATGTTACACCCTCTCACATGCACGCGGGACCTGCATAAATAAAAATTCTCAAATGTGTGGTCCCCACACCATATTGTGAGTGTAGGTAAAAGATTTAGGTAAAAAAGTGGATGTACATGTAGCATTGTCCTACTAATAATTAATAACAACAATTACGAAAATAAATTCCCAATCAATAATTTTTTTGCCTACTTTTCCCGTTTATATACAAGGTAAAATTTTGTTAACAGCAGCTTAAATCGACAACGCATGCCACTTTTTCCAAGAACAAATTAAATTAAACAAATGAATTTTCTATAAAATGTAAATATAGAAGAAATAAACTATAGAAGACAAAAAACTAAAAATATACAATTCAATATGCACATTTTATGAGCATGTCACCTTAGAGGTACACAATGGAGAATTTGAAGTCCAACAAGCTTCCTACTTGGGCTTTAATTTATTTTTTAGGGCCTATTTATTTTGAGGAAATTACACTAAACAAGGTATTTAGTTTTGTCTTTTAAAAAATCAGGTTTATACTTTATTTAATCAAAAATCAGGTTTTAATTTTTATCATTAATATTAATAATNCTATCACTTTTATAAAATTGAAGAGCACCTCTGACATCCCTATATGGTAATGCATAAAATTAAGTAAGTAACGGTGTGACACAATCTCACTTTTATAAAAAAAAAATGATTTTGTTAGTAAAAAAAGTGACCAAAAAACCAAAAAAGTAATAGAAAATAGTGACAAACACTATAAAAAGTTACCAAAACTCAAAAAAAGTGACACAAATTCAAAAAAGTGACGAATACTAACAAAAGTGACAAGTTAGCAATTTTCATGTTGATGTAACACGATTGAGTTATTATTTGTCCGGTCGAGGCATGGCAGAATACGTTGTGCAATATGGTTATTTTACACATCCAATTTTTCTTCTCAAATTTCACACTACACAGAACACAACCAACAAATTAGAATATTATTTGAAGCAAACAAATAAAATTGAAGTTTTCTATAATAAAATTGAACAAAGCCAATTACTCCCATTGAAACAATTATCAAACACTTCATACACATGTAACAGAACCAAGAGTGAAACTTTCCATTTCTATTGTGAAAATTCTAGAGATTTTTCTATGGCCTACAAAACCTGCAAAATGCAAATGCAATCTTCTTTACCAAACATTAGTTGAATAATCTCTTCAAGCAATAACTACTACTCAAGCCTGCCCCTTCCTTTTTGCATCTCTTCCGCTGTTCCTTTTCCCCCTTCGGATGGTCACGTTGACAGAAATTTGGAGCTCTTCTTCATTAGTTAGATGAACTTGAGATTGGAACATGCAGGGTACATCTTCAACTTGAGTAATTCATATTTCTAAAATTCTTTCCTATAGATAAAAATAAGGTACAGAATGAGAAGAATACATCCCAGTTCTCTTTTACTGAAATTAAAAGAAAGCTGAGGCATGCAATGGGAAAAGAGAAGCCAGGGATTGGTCCTGATAGATTGGTCCTTAAATTTCCTTCTAAGCACCAAAATGGGAACGATAATGAAAAAGGTGCTAGTGGAGAACTTGTTGGCAGGAGTTCTCCAAACAGGGACCATTTCTATTCTAAAAGATTTGCCAAATCCCCAACTGGCTTTAAGAGCAGTGAACAATTGGGAAAATCAAAAGTTAATGGCGCAGAAATGGCAAACGAAACCTTTAATTATCTGAGGAAAGTTGCGTCTAATATCTATATCGAGACTAAGAAACATCGTTTTGAGATGTTGAACAATGGGGATGAAAATGCAGAGTCAGGGGCAGTCGTTTACCAAAGTCCCTGGGCCTGATCCTTTCTTTTGCTGAGTACAGCGATTCTCCAAGTTGCAGTCCTAGAAAATACGGTGATGATATATTCATAACTGCCAAGATGAGGTTATCTCCTCGAGGCATGGCTAACAACATGAACGGGCTTGTGCAAGAAAACCATGAAAATCATCCAAGTTCGTCTGGGCCAAACTTAGAGAGTCATCTTCCCATAGCTGGTGACAATGCCAATGGTTCACAGGTTCTGTGCCGCCGGAGAAGGACATGATTGTGGTGGTGGTTTTGTGGCAGTGGAAGTTCAAAGTAGGATTCAACAGTTTTAGATGTCGACGAAAACGTTTGGATACAGTAACGACTTTTGTTCTTCATCGATTTGGCACCGATCGGAGGCGGAGATGAGTCCGACGATGTTGTCTCGCTGTTGTGAAGGGAGGAAATTGGAGATGGTAATGGAGAGGTTTGGAGGGTTTTGAATTTGGGAGAAATGAATGAGTCCTGAATTCCTCTATGGATTTTTAGGGAAGATGATTTAGGATGTGCAGGTGATTAAGTAGGGAGGATTTAACTTTTGAGAGTATTAATTACGGGAGTAAAAGTTTTAATTAGTTTTAGGGTATTATTCTAATTGATTAATTTTGGAGGGTAGTGGCCTAATTATCCCAAACTAAAAATATACAATTCAATATGCACATTTTATGAGCATGTCACCTTAGAGGTACGCAATGGAGAATTTGAAGTCCAACAAGCTTCCCACTTGGGCTTTAATTTATTTTTTAGGGCCTATTTATTTTTTGTATAAACTTGAAACAAAATGGACAGGCCTGCCTTCAACGTGGGCAGGCCAAGCCCCAATAAGGGCACATGCCCTCACTAGCTCCACTCTTGACAATAGTTTATAGGTAAAGATCAACGATTATGACAAAATTGGAGACAACGAACAAAAAAATGGCTAAAGTGCAAAAAATTCAAAGTTCGAGAATTAAAATGCAATAACACGAAAGTCATGTAAACCTCAAGACAGATGTGAAAGTGCTAGAGGTTAATTGAACGAGAAAAGAAAGGAAAGGAAAGGACTGAAAAGAAATGAAAGAGGACCAAAGTGCATAGTAAAAAAAAAGTTCGGGTCACCAAAATACACCCAAGCGATCATATGGTGCACCTGTAGGGGACAGACGCCACCTTGGATATACCATGTGACCGCATGGATTACAACCATGGGATCACATGGTTGTCAGGCTAGAAAAAATTTCTTTTCTATTTTTTGCTTCGACTCTTTAAAATATGATATCTCCAGACCTTTTTAACATAGAGAACGTCAAAAAACGTGAATTACCAAGTTTTTATCATGAATGAGAGGCTCGCAAGATGCAAGAAGATATTTTACAATAAGATTTGCACATGCAAAACGATCCATTTGAGGTTAGTCTCCCTTGGTATCATGGAAACCTATTGGAAACAATGGAAGCTTATTGTATCATACATTAATGATTCATGTATCAAGTTAGCTACAGAAAAGGCTCGTGCAGCTAGGTCGAGCCCGAAGGTGACTATCATTATGATATACTGTGTCAACTGCATAAATCTATGATATATCAATAGGGTAGTAAAACATTTGGCGAAAAAAGTCATAAAGAAGAAGATAAAATATTGTTTGTTATACTATCGAGTATTGTTTACCGAATATGTACTAACTATGATGAATCGGCTGAGCCGTTACCTGAAAACACCACACAGAGGAGAGGGTTAATAGTACAGATGTACGCTAAGAAATATTATATTAGTAAAAAGTGTGATAAATTGTAAATGGCTGGTTGGAATTTGTGCAAGTATGGTGGGGAGCCTTCTTCTGTTGCTTTCTTTGCAGAGGTTGGACTGGACTATGTCTCTTGCTCTCCATTCAGGTAAATTGTTCACTAATTGGTATATCTCAAGCATAACAAGCTCTTATGCAAGAATTTATTTATTCGTAAGTATATTTTCAACACGGCCCCCTTTACGTGAAATTGAGTTTATTTTTCCATAAGCTGACATGGGAAATTCATTAATTGTGACTGCAAAAGTTCAACCAAGATTTTTGCATCTTATGATTTTTAACTACTTTAATATTGTCCAATACTGTCCATTACATTTTACCAACAAAATTTTAATTTATTTTTAATTTTCATCTTCTCCAATCAAGTTCACCCCCTCATCTTGATCTCGTCAACACCCACCTTGCTTTTCCCGTTGCCATGTCAATCTCAAAACTCTCGTTATGCCACCATTTCATCGTCGTCTTCAAATAAACTATCTATGACTTGAAATCTTTTATTTCATAAACTATACTTTCATTTAATTTTCAAGTAATTTCTGACATTTTCCCAATTATTGCCATATCAAACACCATTCAATTATTAGAAAAACGAAAGAGTTGATATTTGAACGTAAAAATAGGAAGGTGCCCCGCAAGTTGTCCCCGTAACAAATGAGTGGGTGGGTGGATGGATGGGTCAATGCGATTTATTAGGTCATTTTAGGCTGTGTGGGTCCATATGAAATGGACATTTTGTAATCTATTTTATGAAGAAACCCACCCACACCAACGAGAGTAAAGTCACATGTACATCACATTTCTACTTCACGCATAGCTTTGACATCATCTTTGTTGACAAGATTTGATTAATAAAAAAACTATTTTTTTCAACTGTCAAATGGTAGCTTGACACGTGGTGGAGTGTAAAACTTGGTGTACACTACAATGTACACCAAGCATGATTGTTAAAACAAACGTCTTCTTCGCGGACCCTCGAATTTTAATGTATGTAACGATTACTTATGAATTCTATTTATTCATAGAAGGCCTATCTTTGATGAGTGCTAACCAAAGTACTTTACTGCTCTATTACTAGAGCATATGCTCTTTTTTAAGAAAAAATTCTCGTGGTGAACAAGACAACCTCTATTTCTAGTAAAAGGCATATTCTCATCTGCCTTTGCTCCTCCAACAACTAAGGCATTTTGGACAGTCATTTGCTCGATGGCCAATGGGAACAATTGCAATTTGCACATTTTCCCTTGCTTCAAGTCCATTCACTTTGGACAATGACTTCTCAATCAGGTCCAGATATATATATATACATATATATGAACATATTGAACATCCACACTTTATTGGACAAGAACCAATGCTCAAATAAGATCTCGTTTTTACGATAATCTTAAGATAAGTTAAAGGAGGAGCTTAGCTCAAATAAGATCTCGTTTTTACGATAATCTTAAGATAAGTTAAAGGAGGAGCTTAGTTCTTGTAAGGTTCGGATACTAAAACTCGAGGCTTTCTTTTGTCCATCATAGAAAGATGAACTGGTCAAAACTTTTTTATTCAGAATTTCATCAACTTAACCCCCGTTTGAGCCCCATTTTTTCTCATTCCATTACATTAATTTTCTCTCTTCATCTCAACCACACATTCTCAAATAAAATAATATTACAAACAAATCTAAAACTTTTTCACCACACATTTTCTCATCAATCACTATTCTATAAATTTTCAACCCTAAAAATTGGGAGCCAAACAGGGGCTTAATATTAAAGGTGTGTTTAACAGTTTGAACCACGTTATTTTGAAGGAATGTATTTTGAAATAGTAAATTGATGGAGAATGTGTGGTTGAAAAAAAAAATTATTAATGTGATAGAAAATATTATTTTATTAAAAAACGTGTAATTAAAAATGAATTAAAAAAATAATAATTTTAATGTGACCTGAATAGTGGGCATAAACAACACAAGATGAAAAAAGAAAGAATCAAAAACTTGCCCAATGAACTTCCTAAAATTATTTTATTATTATTTTCCTTCATCATACAGCTTAATCCAACACCACCACCACTACTGCACCCTCCACCGCCACACCGGAGCAACACAATTTCTAACATTTTTTACATCCCAGCAAAAGAACAACTTTTTGCCAAAGGTACTCATACTAATTAACTAAAACAACACATCATAACCTCCATGCAATTACCAACACCAGAATCTACCACCATTAATTACAACATCATACATATAGATAAATACATGAACATAAAAGCTTTCTTCATCTCAATTCTCGATCACAAGATTCTTCCGTTGTCAAAAAATTTCACAGAATGAACCCCAGATACCAGAAATAAGAACCCAAAAAGCCAGTAACAAACAACTATTAAGTGAATCTTTCATTCAAGACGAAGCAATCGTCTCAAATCTCTTGTAGCCGAATCGTCGAACACTTGGCGTGCACTATCTTGTTTCTTCTTGTTGAAAAATGAAGGAACAGGCAGAGATCTAGGAGAAGGAGACGTGGAAAACGCCGATCCGGCGTAGGTGTCTGCACCACCCCTACGGGCCGAGGCCGGCTGCGCCACCAGCCGGATCTGCATCGGCGCCATTTCTGGGGTGTCAGGACCAATTCTTTCGGTCCCATAAACCACCATATCATCAACTGGACTCCGCTTTGGTGAACCCAATTTTTTGTTGCTGTTAATTTTCGGATTTAGAGAATCTAATGACTCCCCTCTTCTCAAAATGGTGACCTGCCCCATAACAGGCCCGTTATCACTCCTGAATTTCAACGAATCGGCGCTTGATGATTTCTTGGATATGGAATTTTCATGTTGGTTGTTAAATTTCTTCTTCTGATTCTGATCCGACCTTTCAGATCGGAAAACCGGCTTCCTGTAACCAGCTTCTCCGTGTTTCGTGTTTTTCCGGCGATTATGAAACGCCACCTGAGACACCCGGAACCTTTCTCCTAAACAATCTTGTGGTCTCAAAACCTCTGTACCCATTTTTCACCTTAAAAATCAAGGAAAAAATTCAAAACAAATTATCTTAACAACTTTACCTACTAAAAACATAAAAATTTCAGCTAAAAAACTGAGTAATCAAACAGAAAAAACTCAAGGGGTTGACCGATAAAACATTTTTTTCTAAACACTAGTTCGTATATAATATGTACGTATATGTCAGAAATCGTTGAATGGTAATACGGATATATATATAGAAAAATGTAGAGAGAGGAAGTTGTGTGGAAAGTTCGCACCGACCCGCTCGTACGCGTGAGAGGAGAGGGAGATAGAAATGTTCCGTGTGTGACTAGACTGGGTCCCACGTGGGATGAACATGTTGTTAACGTTGTTTAAATGTTCTGTTAGACTTCGGGTTTTGGTATGATTTTATGAAAGGTCCGGTTCCTCTCCTGCTCTGTTATATGGAAAATTGTACTACTGACCCTAGTAACAAATTGGTCTTCAATCTTTAAAACATTACAAATTGGTGTTAACATTTTATTATAATTGCACAATTAGCTTTTAATTTAGAAATCTGTTGAATTTTATGTTAAGAACTTGTTAGGGGGAGATTTTTGAAAATCAATTTTTCTTAAAATAATGCTCAACTATACATTTTATCCGATTCAAAAAAACTTCTACTTGTTAAACGCAGTCTCAAAATAATCATTTTTACTTGAAAATTTCTCTCAAACAAACTCTGCACTGTCGTGTAATTATACCATATCCAATTTTATGAAGTTAATTTTGCTTTACAGCTTAGGTTAGTGTCGAAAAATTTAGCTAGTGTTTGGTTTAGCTAAAGACAGACTTAATTGTGAAGGTGCGGTACTTAATTGTGGATGTGTGGTTGAAAATAAAACCAAATATAGACTTAAAATGATGCTCTAAAACGTTTTTTTTAAGGGAGGTGTTGAGGAGAGAGTACTAAGAACTCTTAACCTTAATTGTGAAAACAATAGCCCTTACTAATTGGGGCAAGGTGAAACTTTTTCAAAATAGTCGTCGTCATGACTGGGAAAATAAAAAATAATTTTCAACTTCTATGAAAAATAAACCCCATTAAACAGGGCCTAATATCTTATTCTGTACACAGAACTGGGAATTTGTCAATCCGCAGTGCACTTTTTGTCAAAAATGTAGAAAATTGGAGGAAAATTAACCGGAGGGAGGGGACATTGAATGTGTTGACGGCGTTAAACTTAACGGCGACCTGCCATTTAGGATGGGGATGAAGAGTCATTATTTGAGGGGGACCAAGTTTTGTGTTTATCTGCCATTCCTGTGGGCTACATTTCTATCACCACTTGTGTGCTGCCACGTCATCATACGTAGCATCAGAAAAATTATGCAGGATATGTGTAGTTTCTACTCTAATTACTACCTTCATGATATTTCATTGTCTTTTAAATTAAATTTTACCTAATTTATGTTATGTTATTTTTGTAGATAAAATTTTATATTTAATGAAGAATTAGATAAAATAATCTAAAAATGACGAAAAATGACAAAATTCAAATATGAAATATTGGAGAGAAATATTACATTAAATGTGTTCGAGTTAAATGAGTTTCAATAGATTTGTATTGAAAATATTAATTGGAGGCTCAAATTATATATATATATGGGTCTGTTTGTTTTTTATTATAAAATTTTACAGTAAATCAGTTCTCATTTTCAATCAGATATTCTTTAATAAAATAATATTTTTCATCATATTAATTATTTTTTTCTTTTTCAACTACACATTTCCTATCATATTACTATTTAAAAATCAATTCTTCCCCAAAAACCCCCCATCAAACAAGCACTATATATATAGAGGGGGGGGGGGGGGGGGGGGTTGGGGGGGCTGTACCCCCCTAAATCTGTCCCTGCCAACACATGTATATAATTTTACAAGGAATTGATCTCGGCAAAATTGGACATCTTTAACAATCAATGCTCAATTTGTCAACCAATTTTGTATATATAACATTGCTCCGTCTTTAAACGATTGTTTGGGAAATATTTTCGAAAAAATGAATATTTTTTTTTTTAGAATGTGTAGTCCATGATGGAAAAATTAGTACGTCACGGGAACGAGTTTTTTTTAGAATGTGCGATTAAAAATTAATTTGATAAAAATGATTTTTTGAAAAAATATCTCACAAACAAGCTCTAAAAGTGTTGTGTGGAATATAGAGTTAGATTGACCACGTAGATAACTTTATAGTGTGCATAGTTAAATTAACCAACATGTATATAATTTTATAATGTATTATCTTAAAGTGTCATACCGAATACAAGTTAGAATGACGAGGTGTACAAGAACACTTTCATAGTTATCCATGTTCCTACAATCATCGTTGTAATGTTTTGCAATATCAAGACTTTTTGCCAACCACCCTACTATGAAACTCTTGATCTATAATGAAATAGTATCACTGACCTCCGAATCTGGGTAATCCAGTTGTCAATACATCTCTTCCAACATTCATGTCTAGTGTCAACGTATATTTTACATACATACTTTGACACTCGTAGGAATGTAAAGATGTCATAGAGTGGTTTGGCTATGATTTGCACTCCTTCGATCAAGTAAGATACCGACAAGTTTGAGCGTGTGAGGGATAAATACATAGATATTTTTGCTACACTTTATCATAAAGCATATCCTTCATGAATACAAGTTAGGAGTATTTATAGGGAATTTGAGTTAAAGGTAATTCTGACCTTCTGAACACTTGTCGGTTGATCTTTCAACCTCGTCATTGTCTTAAATTTGATTTTGTACTCGTTGTAATCATTATTACTCCTGTCTGTCTGTCTGTCTCTCTCTCTCTCTCTCTCTCTCAAATATATATACGTTCACAAGCACAAATGAGCAATCAACTCTGTAAATATTTTGTGTCTGATCTACGTCGTTGTGAGCCGAAGAAGTTTGATTTTGAAGGTGGAGATGGTAGTGGTGGCAGTTGTGGATTTGAGGTAAAGGTCGTGATGGGTCGTTGATTTGAGGTGGTGACAATGATTTGGGTGGTGCCGACTATGGTGGAGTAGATTGGGAGTGATGTGGGATGAGATAAAAAGTAGTCATTGATGACCTGGTAATTTGTAGTCAATAATCGAGTAATTTGCAATTAAATTTGTAATTATGACCTACAAATAACGTTTTTATAACTGTAACATCATATGATTTGTGATTAGTATGTGATTGTGATCATATATTATGTGTTATTGTGACCTGGACTATTTAATTGAATTATTTATCACAAAAATTTATCAAAAGTCACAAAATGTGACAATCTATTTATTTTTTTTTAAAAATCCATGATTTTTTAACTCGAGATAACATTTGTAAGAGAGAGAAAGTGCAAGATGATAGAAAAAATTATTTTTAATAACTAAATGATGTAAGAATGGGAAATGTGGAGGGGAGAAAGATAATTATATTTAGCCCCTATATGACATTCATTATTCTGAAAAAACAAAGTTTAGAATAATAATTTTTAGAAGAATATATAATTAAAAGTAGGAAAAAATTTTGAATTTAAGTGCAAAATATTTTATTATGTGAATGTATAAGTACGTAGACAAAAAGTTTTCAAATAATGTTTGTCAAACAGAGGCTTAATAACTAAGCCCTTGTTTGGGCTCCATTATTTTAAAAATGTTTTTTTATTTTTTTATTTTTAATCATACGCTTTCCAATAAAATAATATTACACGTAAATAAAAAATTGTTTTTTAACTACATTCTCCAACAAATCACTATTCCAAAATACGTTTTCCCCCCCAAAATTACATTAAAATGGAGCCCAAAAAGGGCTAATTGATACTCCTCAATCTGATAAGAGTAATGTTATTTATCATCATAATGATAGAATATTGATGATGTGGCAATCTATTATCCATCACATTTTTTTTCTCTCTCTCTCTTTTCTCCCTCTCATAAAAATTGAATTGTTCAATCTCATTATTTCACATAAATTACCACATCACCTATATCTGTCATCATAATTATAAATAACATTATTCGTCCGATAAAGATATAGTTTCATTCATTTTTCGTCTATCCCAAATTATAAACTACTTTCTTTGGTGAGAATCTAGTTTGTTTCTCAATTAGGGATGACAACGGGACAGGTTGGGGCAACCGCCCCCGCTCTGTTGCCAGGCAAGACCCTTGCCCCGTTTACTACCCCGTTTAAATTTTATTTTTTTTAGTTTTTGATAATTTATTTTATTTCCCCCATTCATTGTATTGAATAATTTTAGTTGCCATTCTCTATTAGAACTAATAAAATTTTGTGATATTTTCATTTAAAGTATTGAATTTAAAAAAAAAAATTAAACGGGGCGGGACAACCGTTACCCGCCCCTGACTCGAATACCCGATTAAGCGGGTAATCCCCGCCCTGTTCAGGGCGGGGTCCGCAGGTATTGGGTTTTTCGAGTTTTTTTGTCATTCATATTCTCAATTTTCTAATATGCCTTTATTTGGCCTCTGTTGGTGATGATTAAAATCAAATTTTTAGTAAATTTTGATAAAAGTATGAAAAGTGTGGTTAAAAAGTTGTGGATCCTATAAAATGTGTAGGTAAAATTAATTGTTAATTTTGACTTATATTAAAATCTAAATTTTAATTCGGACCAAACAGAGACTTAATGTGTCTCGTTATCAACGAATATGAGCTACTCATATTTAAATCATTATTTAATGAATGTGGTATATTAGAAAAATGTAAGAAAAAATTTATACTTTCAATTATGTTAATTATATTTTCTTAATTTTTATGAAAATAGAAGTAAACATATCTTTGTGCAACTAATGGAGTATATATATTAGGATATGATATGTTGATGAAAATATCATAAATTATGCTAATTTTCCTAAATTTCATTCAACAAAAAATATCTCGGAAATATATGATATATTATTTATTAATATGATCTATCATCTGATTTTCAAAATATATTTTTTTAAATTTGTTAAATAAGAAATTGCATACTTAAAGTATGATATTTATGAATTTTCTCTTTCTGAAACCCATGCTCTGCACTCACAATCCATAATAATAGAGCAACATGGATGATATAAAAGATTAGCCCCTATTTGGGCTCCCATCATTCTAAATGCATTTTTTTTAAAATCTTTTTTATAATTATACATCCGTCGTCGTTATTTTTTCCTCAATAAATTAAGGGTATTTGATGGTTTATGTCAAAATATTCTATCTTTGTACTTTAAAATAAGGGGAAAATATTTTTGCGAATATTTTTATATTTATTATTTTTTAAAATTATGCAATCCCACTAGACTTTTTGGATATAAACTGTATATCGGAGATGAGATGTTCTAATTAATTAAAGATTGATGATAAGAATACGAAAAAGAAAATTTTGGACAGAAACGCTGTAATGAGCAAAGATTGAGATCGGAAAATACAATTAAAATGTGTTACCACAGGTGAAAATTATGGTGCGAATATAACTAGAATTAATTTAATAACATAATATTTTATGAATACTATTCATTTATTCACTACACATTTATATATTATAATTTAAATAGTTTATAATTACTACCCCGCTTCATTAATATTGTTTTATTGAAAACAACCCATTTTTTCAGTTTTATGCCATCTAATTCACGCATGAATATATGTGAGTGAAATCAACTCACCTCCAGCAACAACATTCGACCAAATTGCATTGCCTATAACCATTAGAATTGAACAAAGTATCAAAATTATAACAGATAAACACCTAACTTTCCAATAATTCAAACCTCGTGCTTAAGTTTCAAACATATAATAAACTTCAGTATATATTGAACCGATAAACTATTTTTATTACACGATTTTGCTCTTAATAAAAAAGTTACAAAGCCCCTATTTTAAATGGATAAAAATTGGATTTTTAATAGATTTTGATAAAAGTTTGTGAAATATATGATTGAAAAGTTGATAAAAATTGTGGATCTCTTGAAATGTGAACTTTAAAATAAGTTTGAGAAAAAATGAGGATCAAACTGAGACAAATCTTTCCACTTTTCTTCCATCCGTCCAGTGACCCCTCTCTCCCCATCTGCAACTCACCATTGCCTTAATCCACTCTCAAGCTCCTTCTATGCTCATTGTTACTGTCGATACGATATTCATGGCTAATTTGTTATCATTGTGTGTTAAATTTACTCGTATAGTCACTATTAAACATGCTAGTTCATGTTCTCAAGTTTTATTATTACTATTTATGTGATGTTTGTGACTTAGATTTCATATAATTTGGAAGTTTGATTCATAGAGGAAGTTTAGATAATATTTGTTTGGAAGTCCGGTTTCATAAAGAATTATGAATTTGGGAGTTTGTTGGAGAATTGACTTTGGAATGAATGAAAAAGTGTTTTATAAGCATTGTGACGGAGAAGGCTATATATTTTGGAGGCAACAAGGGGTTCTAGCCCTCGGGCGCTGGCTGTCTCACTACAGCACTACTTGACGTTTTGAAGAGGCCTCTTTGTTGATTTCTACTACATTTTTGTGCTTTACTCCATTCATAACTCCAAGGTTGGACTCCTATGCATATTCCACAAGATGTAGGCTGTTCATAGACTTAACACAACAATTAGATCATTTTTGTATACATTAGAAATTTGAAAGAATTGTTTAGATTTAGATTGAGAGTATACACAATTTTAATTTCTTGGTATATGGAATTTTCATATTCTTCCACATAAATCTTGTGTTGTAGTATGATTCATTATTTTTCATATTACTCTTATTATTCTCGTATTTGTTATTTGACCCGGTTCTCAACAAATTAGTATCAAAGTGATTATGTGATCTTTTTTATTTCTAACAATTTATGTAAGAGGCTCGAAGGCTACAACACAAATTAGTAGGATGGGTGAAGGAGGACAGTATCGAGAATTAAAAACCTCAATTCTATTCAATCGAAATAATTCAATTCATAGAAAGAAAAATAAGACCCTTCCTTCGCATTGAGAGAGGGCTTCTAACCCCACGTTGACCTCACCGTGAAAGTCGATCTGCATTCGAACTTTTTTCAAATTAACAATAATTAAGATCTACAACTTAATTGGAAGCATGCACGAGGTATGGGAAGACAATGCCTTTCCATTTTTTTTTCTCTAATTCTCTCTTAATTTAAGCATAACTCGTTTTATTATTCTAAAAAAATAGGAGAATATGGGAGAGTCATGTATAACATTTGTCTAGGAAAATCTGGTTGGATAGAATGACAAGTGAATGTAAGAATTCCATATTGGAATTGAACTTGGACGAACGAATAATTAAAGAATAATCGTCGCTAAAAAAGTACCAACATTGAAAGGTTAAACATTAATGTCAAAAGTTAAAAATCAAGAACCTTGTCTATACAATCTAGATAGATTGAAAACATTTAGGGCATGTTTGATAGGTTACTTTTTCTAGGGAAAAGGGAAATCATTTTCCATTTCTCACTTTTGGTTGTGTTTGATATGACTTTTTTTGACAAGAAAATATTTTGCCATTGGTAGGCTCACGCGCCAATTTTCTTCACAATTAAGGAAAAGCTTTTCCCTACTTTTTGGTGGGAAAAGCTTTTCCAACTGCTCACGTTAATTTTTTTTTTTTGGGTTTTTTATTTTTTTTATTTTTTCACAATGGAAACAAATTTCATAACCAATTGTAAAAAAAAATTTCACTTTCATGGACAATTTCCATAGAAAACGAAGTCAAACGAACACTAAACTTTGATTAAAAAAATGATTTTTTAGGAAACATTTNAAAATATTTGAATCTTGTATTGGCAATATTGGGTCCAAAGATGAGTATGACCTCTCTCCAAAGATTTGCTCTAAAAATTCAAACACTGACTGGCCACCAAATACATCACATGCTTTCTCTCTCTAAATTTGAATTTTCTTTCTATTTTTTATTTTTTTTTTCCTAATAAAAGATGCCTTTGCCGTCACTCACTCCCCCCACCAGAAGCGAAACTTCGACCAAAATAAAAAAAAAATCAAAACAAATAAATTCCCCATTTACAACCCACACCTCAATACCCCCAGCGCACGTTAGCACGTGCTACCATCTGTAGCCCATTATCCCCTTCCGATCACCACTACCCGACGACCTCCTAGACGACGTCGTATCGTACACAGCCTGTTTCCCAATTTAAACCATTTCTCAATTTACCCAATTGGGAATTTTAGTCTATACATATACAGATATATACGTATAGAGCCAATTTATTACATCACTGTTATAATAAGGGTTTTAAATTAGTTATTATTAGGATGCGGTGAGGAAGATTTGAGGATGGTTAAGTTACTGGGATTACGGGGTTTCGGTGAATGGGCTGAGTCACCTCGGGAGGTGACTCGGACGATTCCGACGAGCGAAAGCATCGGAGAGAGCGGATGGCTTATGCGATTCTTTGACTCGGCTTTCTTCTGCGAGTGGATTGCTGTCAGCTACCTCTACAAGCATGATCACCCTGGGGTCCGTGACTACTTGTGCAACCGTATGTACACTCTCCCTCTATCTGGTATCGAAAGCTACTTATTCCAAATATGCTACATGTTAATCCACAAGCCGAGCCCTTCTCTTGATAAATTTGTAATAGATGTTTGCGCCAAGTCTCTTAAAATTGCACTGAAAGTCCACTGGTTTTTAATGGCGGAGTTGGAGGATGTGGATGATAATGAAGGGATTAGTAGGATTCAGGAGAAGTGTCAGTTTGCTGCCACTTTAATGGGTGAGTGGCCGCTTTTAATTAAGCCACAGACACAAAGTACTAGTTTTATGTCATTTTCATCAAATAATAATACTTATAGTGGCAGTGGTAGCCCAACAGGGAAGAATCAGGTATTGAACAGGTTGTTATCATCGAAACAAAAGTTATTGTCATTGACATCCTCACCCCCTAGCAACGCAATGGTGCCAAGGTCCCTGTCGTTCTCGCCCTCGGCAGGGAACTCGATAACTCAGGACGATGGTGAGAAGGTTGTAGCGTCTCCAGAGGAGAATAATAAGATTTTTAAAAAATTTATACCAGGGATGAAGGTCCGTGACGCATTGTTTAGGAAATCAGTGGAGAAGGACTTGGAGGAGTCTGACAAGGAAGGTGGGTTCTTCAAGAGACTTTTAAAGGATTCTAGGGATGAGGATGTCAGAAGGTCAGTAGATAAGGATAAAGAGAATGATGAAGAACCGGATAAGGATGGTGGGTTTCTCAAGAGGTTGTTGAGAGATAGTAGAGATGACAATACTAGAAACTCACTGGACAGAGATAAGGAAGAGGAGGAGCAAGAAAAGAGTGGTGGGTTTTTTAAAAGGTTGTTGAGTAGTAGTCGAGACGAGGATGTTAGGAAGTCAATGGATAAATACGAAGATGATTCAGAGAAGGATGGGTTCTTTCGAAGGCTCTTGAGTAATAAGGATGAAGAAGTGGAGGTTACCTCCAGTTCAGATGGTTTTTTTAAGCGGTTGTTCCGTGATACTAAAAATGAGTCGGAGGAAAAAGTGTTGTCCAAATCCATGGAAGATGATGAAAAGGAAGGATTTTTTAAGAAGTTATTCAAGGAGAAATTTGAGGACAAGAAAGATGGGACTGAGAGGAATGATAATGAAGAGATAGTGACAAAGATCTCTGAAGATGATGAGAAAGAAGGCTTCTTCAAGAAATTTTTCAAAGAAAAACTTGATGAAAGGAAAGATGGGAATGGAAGGACTGATGATGGCGAAGAAGAAGAATCATCAGAGCTTTCATTGTTCCGTAGATTGTTTCGTGTACATCCTGAAGATTCTAAGAGTTCAATGACAAATGATAACAGAAACGATGGCAATTTGCTTGAAAGCAGCCCAGGAACGGAGAATTTTTTTCGAAAGCTGTTTAAGGATCGTGATCGTTCAGTGGAGGATTCTGAACTTTATGGTCTGAAGAATAGCACAGCGGTCAGTCCTAAATTATGCTGTTTCAATAAGTTTGTGAACTCCTGCTGTTTTAATTTATATAGATGCTTATTGCTGCTTAAAAATATCATCTGACTTTCTTCATCTCGTAATCATTTCTTTTCTTTCGAAATGCTGCAATTTAAATATCGTGTTCCTAAAAGACTTGCCAGCTCCACTGAGGCCTGCTTGGACATTTATCTTTTTTGCATTATTTATGCGTCAAAATATTTTTGCTATAAATATTTTGCGGGTGTATTTTTAAAATAAATATAGCTGATGCTTGTATGAATACATTACTGTGGTCGAAGCTTTAAGAACTGGAGCTGTTTATGGTGTGGGGCTTGGTGAGGAGTATTAGAATTTTGAATTGGGCGCTATCAAATTAGCCTGGATAGTTCAGTTTAATTACTATAACTTTTTTCCTTAATTATGAAAATCCCACCCTACCTTTCCTTAATCCATTTTGCTGGAAATACGGAGGAAGTAGAAGATAGGAAGAGAAGATGAAGCAATGCTTCTGCATAAAAGTGATGCAAATTAATGAAGGGGAGAAGTCTGGTTAAACTGATCCTGCAGTATTTTTTATAGAATTCTAAACTAAGAAGGTTTCTATTTCGGAGAAGATGTGCTGACTGAAGAATAGTTGTAGATGGTAGTCAGTCATATAACTTAATCTCAGTTTTCGTTTGAATCATTATTCTCTCATGTTTGCACGTTTTTTTGCTTGGTTCAAATAATGAATAGTGTTCTCGTGTTTGCTGTGATTGTTGTAAAGTACATAGTTTCCAAGTCCAAAGAAAGGCATATGGATTCTATTATTTTGTTTATACTGTTCACTCTTAGCTGTATGCTAAAATATATTTTATGATAAAGTTAAATCTGATCCTTAGACCTCCTAGTGCTACAATTTTTCATGTGAACAAATATTGCTTGGTACCTTTGGAAGGAGACTTCTAGTAATATAGAGAGGAAGTGAGGGAGGTTTTTGACATCAAACATCAAGGCCAGAGATATGGAGAGAAGGAGAGAAAACAAAACATTGGGTGGTTTTGAGGAAAAGATAAAAGAAAAAAAAGAACTAAAGGTGGCACATGAGTGATTCTGAATATGCTTGGATTATGTTGAGTAAATCGATTGGCTTGGTGACTTTTTGATTGTGGGCTTACAATCAGGACACATGTATTCTTCATCATCCTTTCCTCCTTTATTTATAGGAAATGTGATGCTTGTTTATTTCGATGGAATCCCTCAAAATTGTTAAGCTAAAACATAAATGTTCTTTCCCTGTTATTTAACTAATTATATAGATGGATAGCTGGCTTTTGTTCTTCGCACCCTCATCATCGTGTTGTTGTGCCTCTACTGTGAGAGGCTCTTAGCTACGTGGATAGTACGCTTAATTTATATTATTAAGATCCTTTTGTGCATTTACAGTACTCTTTGATTAGAAGTTTTGCACTCAAAAAGGAAGAGTAAGATATTGTTTCCTGAACACCGAGGGTGTAAGCATTAAACAGTGTTTATGCTCTTTCCAATTCTATGTGAAAAATAACTAAAGCAGCACACCTGATACAGCCAAAAGATTCAGCGGTTTGACAAATTCTTCTTCAGCACTTGGGTGTCATACCTCACCGAGGGTGTAAGCATTGAACAACGTTTATGCACTTTCCAATTCTATGTGAAAACTAACTAAAGTGGCACACCTGATACGGCCAAAAGATTCAGTGGTTTAACAAATTCTTCTTCAGCACTTGGGTGTCATACGTGTATTTGCAATTAATGATTGAACAAAAGAAATGGCACTATGTTCTGTAAGAATTTCAGAGAAT